GAGACTTTAGGCAAGAGATGTTCTACAGAAGAATGCTGAAAATACTATGGACAAAGCATAGGAGAAACAAGGAATTTTTAAGGGAAATGGGAATGAAAAGGACACTTGGTTAGGATCAGAAAGAGACCACTTGAAATTTATGAGATATATAATGAAGAAAGAAGGCTTGGAGAATTTGATATTCACTAGACTTAATGAAAGCAATGTCAAGAGGGAGATCTAAACATACCTAACAAGAAAGCAAACTTGGTGAATTAAAAATATGTAATGATTTGGTTAGGATTTGTTCACTCCTAAACATTTGTACATTTTTCTTTAAAATTTCATGGTTCTTGCACAAAAACCAATATGATGTAAACAGCTTCCTATGATAACCACTTTTGTTATTACTTAATTTCTCAATGTAGTCATTTCACTTTTACTTAACAATTACAATGGCCAAATGCTAAATCCAGACTGTCACCAACAGAAAAGAATAAGTATATTAAGGAGCTTCAAAATCTGGTGATATTGTGAGGTACTGCTGGGGCATCCTGGTTTAGTAGTAATGATGTTTTGGCTCCTAGAACATAACATCAGGAGGCATTATATAATTAATGAAGGTTTTACTGGCAAAATTATCATTGCTGTTTTTTAAATAATGACATACAAGTGATAGATTAAGATTTTCATTAGATGATTCAGTAATTGTTTTTCTTTTTTTCTTTCTCTTTTTCCTTTTCTTTCTCTTTTTCCTTTTCTTTCTCTTTCCTTTTCTTTCGTTTTTCCTTTCTCTGTTAAATCAATTTACCAAGCAAGCCAATAATGCCACTAAGACACAAGGGGCTAACTGGGAGTGAAAGAGAATAAAAAAGACTTTAGAAGGAACCAGAAGCCCAATCCTAAACAGGAAACAAGGGATAGACCTCTACTCCTGTTCAAAAGACTGGGGAGGAGTGTGAACCAAATGATAGGTGAACCTGTCTACTTCTGTTGTAAATCTATGAACCAACATTTTAAAAAAATCAACATAGTTTAGATTATTTTTTGAATTTATTGCAAATAGGGGGAAATAAATACAACAATCTCTTTTAATTTATAATCATGACATTCCGGCTAAATTATATAGCATACCTGGAACACATTAATATCTTTTTTTTTATTTAAGGGAGCTTTATTTTTTATAATACTGATTTAGTTCCAGCTTTTGTGATAATTATTTCCTTTCTGTGATCTTGAAAAACCTGGAATGTTATGAAGGATTTATTTCTGGTTGATAAATGAATTTTTTTACTCTAATTTTTTTCTTAGAAGTTGAAAGGTTCTGTTTAAACTTAATTCAAAATGTAGATGTAACTTCTATCTACAAAAATGTTGTAGCTTACCTATGGGCAATAATGGGGATGTCCCCATTCACATAAATACAGTAGTAAATACTGTATATTGATCTGCAGTTGGAGATTCACTTCTAGCAGTTGACTACTTCTACATGCCACTGGTGAATCTTATATGTGTTGTTCTTGTCCTAAGTATTATCATTCATTACCAACCTTCGTTTGATTATTCTATTCAGTAACCTTCCCTAGGTTGCAACAAAAAAGTACATTATTGCATTTGGATTAACTTAGTTAAAAATTAAGTGATAATATTCTTTCTATTTAAATTTTTTTTTTTTTTTTTTGGTGGGATCTAATACAATCTCTTTTCTCTTCTTTAACTTGTCTATCTATATAGGATTTATAGGATCATTTTAGGATTGAGATTTTCAAACAAAAGCTTTTTTTATTAGTTGCCCATTATTATTATTATTATTATTTAATATGGATTTTTTATTTTTCCTTTTCTTTTCTTCAAATGCATTATCTATAGCATTTGACACACTTTTCATTCTTCTACTCTCCTACTGTGTCTTTTATTTAATATCCATTCTCTCTACACAATTAAGATGGCTAAAGATTTGTGAAAGTTCGAAAAGTTTTATTTATTTTAAGTGTGGTAAAGTAACATCTGACCAACCAAGATCAAATTTTACTAACTTTTCAAAATTTTGGTTTTCTTTCTTTAAAAATGTTTTTATGTGTGATATATTTTTCCTTACACTTGATGTGGTAGAAAAAAAAATTTTTAAGTACATAATTTCAAATGGTATTTTCTGTGTTTTTTATTTTCATTTTTTTTTTTCTAAATCTGTTTGTATGACTTGTGATTTCCTTGTCATCTTTTAATATCTGTTTGTTGCCATCTTCTAAGATCATTTTTGTTATGGCCTCATTGAATATGTTGTTGGGTTGTACAGATGTCAGTGCCAGCATCCAAAAATGATGCATTTCCTCATGCCCTCTGAAGGCAGGTGAGTGTCCATGACTGGCACCAGTACATTCCAAGAGAGAATATGGTAAGCTTGGCATCAAACAGAAGTTTCTGGAGAATAAATTTTTTTCTTTTTTTGTTTACCTTTGCTGAGTTTTTAGATGTTTAAAAAGAGTAAAAGTTATAAAAGTAATTTTTTTTTTTTAATCATTTCACTCTAAGCAAGGCAATAAAGTTATTAAGATGTAAGGGGTTACTGAGTGTGAAAGAATGAGAAAAAGGGAAACTTCATTAAGGAGAGAGAATTATAAAAGAACAGGAATTAGGAAAACAGAAGATAACAATTGAGATTGCATTTAAATTTTTCAAGAACAAAGTTGACTGGAAAACGAGAGGCCAGAAGAGCATTCCTCAAGTGAGAAGTGCAAGTGAAGACACTGTTAGCATAGAACATCTAGCCATTTCAACTATAAAATGATGAGCCCTAGCTGCCAATCTAGTACTGCACTTGAATTTGTAAAGTCAAGGTACCAAAGAAGAAAGCTCATCAGAACAATTACCATGAAAATATTTCTGGAAAAGTATAGGGAAGCTAGGTTATGACAATGGAAAAGAAACTGAAGTTGAGATGCTAGGTCAGGACCAATAACATTGCATATTCTTCTTTGTATTCTATCAAAAATCTCTAAATACATAACAGAAGCAGCAAACCAGATGTGACAGCAATATTCAATGCATAGACAAATGGTAGACTTATCAATGTGTAAGATAGATTCAGGCAAGAAAAATTGTCTTGTACAATGAAGTAGACTGGTCTCCATAGCTATGTATGCAGTCAATGTAGTGATGACATTGTTGGCAGCGGAGGGTTTTCTAGATTGAAGTCAATGACCAGGGAAGCGGTTCGACCCTGTTGGAATCAACATCTAATGTCTGTGACCAAGACAAACATTTAAGTTAGAAGACATTGATATGATTTGACCTGAGGACTCCACTAACTTTCAGGCTTTTAACCTCAATATGTACAGAAAATTGATCAGTTACCCAGTTGTATAGTGATCTTATGACCACAACCAATCATTGAACAGTTAATGAATGATTATATATATATATATATATATATATATATAATATTCTCTGGTGATTACAAGGATTATCCTCATGAACCTAGGTTTGTGATTATCCCAACCCATTTGGCTATATCAAACAATGACATTTGTGATATAATGCACAGAGGGTGATTTTTGTTAAGCAAAAAATAAACCAGAGAGTAAATTATAAAGCCAAGAATAATGGAGCAACAAATGAGAAAGTTATGTTTGCTACAAATCTTTTTCAAACCTCTACTTTGCAATAAGTGCTTTTTCAATATTGTCAAACTTAAAAACAGAAATATTAAACATTTTATGACAAAACTAGATTTTTTTGAGTTTTTCTTTTCACTAAACCTTTCTAATCTGTTAGATAAATTTTTCTTGTTTTTTTTTTTGCATTTAAAATAAGAAAAGTATTTTTTTTTAATATGAATTTTAAAAAAATTACCAGACTTGTAAATTCCAAGTCAAAAATTCTGAAGCTTAAGCTATTTTCAAGCTCCAGTTACTGACTTTATTTTTAATAAAATCAAAAAGAAAGCATTGTCAAGAAAGTATGTTATTGTGTTCCAGATTTAATGGAAATCTATTTCATCCTCAGTACATAACTATATTATTAATTATAAAAATCATGTTTAATCTCATGATCTCAACACAATTTTATATTAAAGTTGTGATCTAGAATCTTGTAGGTTGATGGAACAACAATGTCGATAGACTGAAATGTTGAAACAATTTAATTAAGTGGAATAATGTGTTATCTGAAACTAGATTTTCAAAAAAGAAAAAAAAAAGTTTTCTCTTATCAGTTTTTTTTGTCTTTATTTCAAGCTACATTGTGTTCAGTTTCAACTCTGAAAATGTTTTGCATTGAACAAAGGATGAAAGAAATGCATCATTTAATTATGTTGGAGACAAATGAAAAAAGGTGGAAATTAGAATATGAGAGTCATACTCTATGCAATATGATTGATTTTTAAGTTTTTTAGTAAATTATTTTTCATCCTAAAATTGTACTATTTTATTGCTAATTATAATTTTGATACTTCCGGCCTGCCAACATTGCATCGTTTAAATATTTTATTTATTGACATTTCAACTGCATATTAATCATGTATGAAACATCTAAAAACAAAAATTTTTTCAAGAAAATATTAATTTTTCAGTACCATTTTGATATTTTAATTTTTAAATTTATTTTTTTTTTAATTTTTAACATTTACTTTTATATTATCTGATTCAAAAGTCTGCTCTAATTTCTGCATTAAGTGCTTCTAGGTGTGTGTGCATTAACTACAAACAAAACATGCATTTTTTTTTACTCTCCTCTTGATTGAATATTAGCATTTTATGATCTAAATTTCCTGTGTTAAAGTCAGTGTTCACAATTCATTTTAATTTTTCAATATTTGTAAAATTTGTATGTCTGTCTTGAGCACGTTTTTATTGTATTTACCTTGAAAAGAATTTCTTGTTCAATTGAACTCCCCAATCTATATGATCATGTGTTGTCTATGTCAAAAAATTCTGCCTTATTTGGAATTATATAATTTTGAAATAATTTACAAGGTTGAACATCTAAAGAATTTTTCTGATTGGGTTTTGTTATTCTTACAGATAAAAATGATGGCACTTCATTTTCAAGATCAAGAAGTTCAAGCATGTCCAGCCTTGAGAATGTCTCTAAGGAAGCGATACAGTGCTTGAAATTTGCAGATTCCTACACAAGAAAAACAGGTTCTTATTCTGATATTATCATTTTCATATTGGTACAAACTGTTAATGTCAGTGAGAATATTAAAGAGTGTGAGCATAGAATCTGAATAATAATAATAATAATAACTGTCTATATTACTGAGATGAAGTATTGTAACTATTTACACTATTTACATTGTTCGGACTGTTGTCCTCATCTTTATTGTCATATTCACAATGTTTCAGCCATTGTATACTACAGCTTTCTTCAGGTGATATACATTAGAATTTCAAACTGAACCCTTTATTTTGTCCACCAGGGTAGATTGTTCTAGTTACTAAAGGGAAAAACTGAAACAGATATCCAGAAAAGTAAAAATTTCAGTATGAATTGACAGAACTAAGACAAATGAAAAAAATGTAACGCTAGGAATATAACCATATAATTTCTTTATTGTTGTCTCCTTAAAGAAGGTTACAAACAGACAAAGGTGGTACTCGAGTGTAAGGAACAGCAACACGGGCGTAGATGAAAGAAAGTGAGGTTTATTGTAACAAAAGAATACATTACTGAAAGACAGGGAACCAGTTAGCAGGCTAGTAATTCCCAAAGCAAGTCTGCCAGGTATATCCTATGCACAATATATATATATATATATATATATATTATTATGGGACCTACCTTTATGGACTAAATGGACTCGTCCTATTACTATATTATGCCTCTCAAGAGAGCTTTCTACAGTTGACAAGTTGGCTACTGTACTTTGCTGTCAGTCAGACGTGCAACACTTTTGTATTCGTTCTTTTTGTTAATAATACGTTTTCACTAAATTGCTGAGTTTGAGTTTTCTTTCGGACCCACTTCCAAGCCCGGAAGAAGTTTTTACAAAACTTAATAGAGGCAAGTTCTTTTCGAAAATCGATCTCTGCGAAGCTTATCTCCAGATACCCGTTGAGGAACAAAGCTCAAAATTATGTATAAATACACATAGAGGCTTATACAAATTTGAAAGGCTTGCATTTGGAGTCGGTCACACCAGCCATTTTTCAGTAGGTTATGGACACCATGCTGGGTGGACTTGACTTTTCAATGGCTTACCTAGATGACATCTTGATAAACAGTAAAAGCGTGGAACAACACTGGGAACACATCCACAAAGTATTTTCATGAATACAAGACTATGGCTTCAAAATAAAGGAAGGCAAATGTGACTTCTTCATGAAAGAAATCAAATATTTGGGTCACATCATAGACAAAGACGGTAGGAGACCAGGCCCAGAAAGGGCCACTGCAATTAAGGACATGCCGGCTCCTGAAAACGTCACAGCACTACAGAGCTTTTTGGGGTTAGCGAATTACTATTAAGTGTTTATCCCGCTGAATGAGCTTTTAAGAAAAGATAAGGTTTGGGAATGGACACCCGAATGTCAGGAAGCATTCGAGAAAACTATCAAAGTCCTAACATCGGATTTATTCTTTACGCACTACGACCTGAACCTCAAGATCATAGTTGCTAGTGACGCAAGCTCGCATGGAATAGGAGCGTGCATCCTTCATAAAATGACAGATGGAACGCAAAAGCCCATCGCTCATGCATCAAGGACCCTGCTCCCAGCGAAAAAGAACTATTCCCAAATAGAAAAAGAAGCATTAGCAATCATATTCGCAGTCACAAAATTTCACCGTTATATACACAGAAGATTTTTCACATTACAAACGAACCATAAACTGCTCCTCAGTATTTTCGGGTCAAAAAAAGGATTACCCGGTTATACGGCAAACAGACTGCTGAGGTGGAGGACAATTCTCCTGAATTACAACTTCAAGTTGGAATACCTCCCCTCGAAAAAAAATCTGTCACACTGACGGACTTTCTAGACTAGTTCCAAGACATAGGGAACCCTTAGAAGATTCTGTGATTGCTTCACTACGAACGGAGGGGGAAATAAAAACTTTGTGTAGCACTATAAGAGAACTTCCTGTGACGCTACAAGAAATAAAGCATGAAGCCTGCAATGATGAATTCATTAGTGCAACAAAAACAAAGATTTCAGAGAAGGACCAATACATATCAGACAGTTTTTCCCTATGTGACGAAGTACTCCTATACAGCGAGAGAGTCGTCATTCCAAAAAACCTACAGAAGAGAATCCTGAAGGTTTTTTACATTGGGCATCTGGGGGAAAAATAGGATGAAAAGTCTAATGTGCAGCTACATATACTGGCCTAAAATGGACCAGGACATCAAAAATATGGTCAAAACATGCAAGGGCTATGCATTGGCGGCAAAAGCACCACCTATCACACATAAACCGTGACATTTTCTCTCTCCCTGCACTGATAATGGCTTAAGAAAGTTGAAAGCTTGGACCATATTTCCTGTACTTCTCTTTCAGTATATGAACTTTAAATAATTTCTAATGGCACTTCCTTGTCTGAGAAGGATTCTTCATAACTTGGAAAAGTCAATCAATAAGATCAACACAAAATGTCTACCATTTTTAATTTTAACAGTATTTGCTTTAAAGAACATTTGCTACCTAAATACACAGAATATATATTATATTTCACCTATAACTGGTTATCCAAGGTATTTCTGGAAGATAAGGATTTTAGGGCAAGTAGTCATTGTCATTAGTGTCTGATATCAAGAAATAGAGCATTAATAATAATAATAATTGAATGATAAAAAAAGGAACACAAAAACACATTGAAAAAATCCTTGGCAATCCCAGCTTAAGAGAAATACAAAAACTTGGTAAGTACAGCTCACATACTAAGAACTTTGTCCATGTAATGCTAGTGATGTTATGGAAGTTAGAAAAACAAATCATGAAATGTAGCCACAACAACACACCAATACCTGCCTTAGGTCTTCCTGCAGACTTGGTAGATAGTGTGACCATAGTAGAAATTGTAATATAATAATATTATAATAAATAAAATTAAATGTTCAGATTTCTGAAAATAAATCCAATTTTACAATCAAGTCTCAAATATTGTTTTTTTTTTTTTCCTCCCAAATTCTTTTTGGAATGTTTATTTCTGTTCTATCACAATTCATTATAATTTTGAAATATAAACGAGAAGCAAGTTAACATCAAATTTAATCACCGCTTTCATTGATTGTTAATTGAATAGTATTAAAAATATTCAATAAATCAAGTAAAGTTCAAATGACTTATGTGGTTAACTAACTCAACAGTTTCACATTGGAATGCTCATCAGGGCCAGAGTTTTGATGTAATTTTCACATATTTTTCCAGTTGTGTTATTATTATTATTAGTAATATTAAAAAAGATAAATTTATGATGCCCAATAGAAGTTATATATTGTTAATAAAGCATTTTACATGTATTCAAATGACCAAATGGTTTTGAAATAAATTGCAATTGTTTTTTACCAGACAAATATTTAATATAATTGGTTTAACAGCTTTTTTTTTGTTTTTGCAACATATATACACATACATACATTTTTTTTTCCTGTTATTCACTTTACAGATAGTTACACTTGTCCGTGTTTATGGGTTGGCACAAGTCTGGGGTCTGTGTTAGTAATTGTACTAAATCTTCCAACAGAAGAACAACGGCTTTATCAACCAGTAATTGTTTCTCCCAGTGGTAAGTGAACACTTCTTTTTTTTATTTTTATTACTATCCTTTTATATCATTTCTTTGTGCTTTATACATTTTTTTTCATTTTAGACCAGATTCATTATTATTCCATTGTTCTTGTTATTTCATTTCTTCAATTGCCAACATACTTGCTGTATTCTATCAGCATGTTTTGAAGGTTCAACTTTTGATTTCAACTAAGAATTCAGCCAATTTATGGTGAAAATTTTTCTTATTCTTTCATAGCAGGTTACAAATATCTTATTTTCCTCATTGCATATAACATTCAATGATTGCTTCATAGCACATGCATGCACACACACACACACACACACACACACATTGAAACATGGAGAAGTTGTGATCTTCTCATCGTGGATCAATTGGTGGATACACAAGCAAAAATGACCCCTACAGATATAGAGGTCAGAAAAGGGTTAGTGCAGTTTGCTGTAATATTAAGCATGTATCAGAATATCATTAAGAACCAACCTCCATGACATAATGTTAAAAAGCCATTGTTTAATTTGAAACAATACCTTTATGGCAATAAATTGATGCTTTTCATTTTGAAAATTATCTCCAAATTTGTCCTCTTTATTTTGCTGTCTTATGGCATTTTGAAATATGGGTTCCCATATAATCATTAAAGTTAAGCAACATCAAGCCTAGTCAGTACCTAGAATACCAGGTGCTATAAGCTTGGATGTGTCTGTGGTGTAATAGATAATGGCTCTGAATTGCAGATCAGAGAGCCAAGTTCCAATTCCCATTGGGTTTGTTATATCCACTTATGTGTAAAAAGTATTTATCCACCTCTTCTCCCCACCCCAGAACTAAGTTAATTAGTAGGTCTTGTATCAGTAAATCATTATTATCTCTGAAAAATTCTTACAAACTAAAGATTTGTTCTGGCTTTAAATAACCTGCAAAAAGGTTGACAAGCCATAAAAAACAATCATTAAGTTTTGCTATCATGTAAGACCTCATGACTTTTCATTCTGCAATTCAACCTTATAGAAAATAAGGAGTGAAGGATTACTCATTAATGTTGAAAAAACACTTTCTAGAGTCATTTATGTACAAACAAAGATAATAAAAACAACATACTCTAGGGTTCTTAAGATTATGAAAAATAGAAAGGCACTGACGTAAAATAAAATTGCATCATTTGGAAGAATAATACAAATTTTATCCTGGGTATGGAATCTGCCTGCAACCTGGTGAGTCGATATTCTGATAAAATTTTCACTTTTTAACTCTCTTGTGATACCAATCTGTGTTTGAGTTCTAGACAATGACACATTTTATGATGAGGTTCATTGCAAACAGATGCCATACCATGGAGATGCACACGTGTGATCTTTATGAGAGCCGTTTTTAAGGTGGTCAGATTGTGAGCCTTCAAGAGGCTAGATAGTAATATCAGAATTAATTCTTATGTTAACTGTATATTTAATCATGAACAAATTGAAACACATATTCAAGGTGTTGTAATTTTATTTTCTAACAGTGTATAGCATCTACTTGACAGCAGAAGAGTAATTATCTTTTTCAAAGTGATGGGAGATTGTCATCAGATTCTCTTTGCCTGGCCAAATAAATTCACCCATGTCATCGATCTAGCATCCCCCCTCCCCCAGTTATTATATGTCTAAACCCGATATCATCAAAGAATAAATTTATTCTCTGCCTCATCACACTTATTTCTTTTTTAAAAAATTAGTCTTTTACTTAATTTTTTTCTCTTAATTTTAGGATACAGTTGTTTTTAATTTTAGATTCAATAACAGTCTGAAAAGGATTGCCCCCCCCTCCCCCAAGGAATTTTGGTATTCCTTTATACTCACTAAGTTGAAAGAGTCATTGAAAACTTTCAGCATTTAATTTCTATTGAAGTAATGAATTGAAAATAAAGATTAAACAAAAACAATTGTAGAATAATAATTATAATGATATAATATAATGCTTGCTATTATCTGATAACCATGCTTTCTGCGTGCATAAAACCTTTTTTTTTTTCCTGAACACATCTAACTTTGAATTTACACTTGTTTTTATATAATTTTCTAGCATACATATTTTGAAAAAATGAAATTTTTCAAGTTCATCAATAGTTTGGCAACACTATTGTACCTGTAGGCAAGCATTTGTTTTGTAAATTCCTCTTTTTGCAAGTAGTATAAGTAATGAAGTAATCATTTGACACAGATTGCTTTATTGCATATTCTTTAGAAAACAAATGAAGTTGCTTATGTTTGTTGCCATAAAATAGTTTGCTTCCAATCCCCATGGAGAAAAAAATTGAGGCATGTAATAAGAATATACAGAAAATCTAGTTTTGGTGTTTCTGTCCATTTATATGGAAGCATACATTTTGAATGCTCATTGAAACTGTTTTATTGTTTACAATAATAAAAAATAAAAAAAAAAATTCATTTTTTACCTCATCATTTGAAAATGTATTATTTGTAATATCCAGCCTATTAGGAATTTATTTTTTAAATTGTAAATAATCTGTAAAACAAATTTTAATTTTTTTTAAATTAGTTTTAAAAAGAAATTTAAACTTCAAATACTGAATTTTATTTCTTTTAGCAATCAAAATTAATAAATTTATTATAAATGACTTTTTTTGTTCAGCTATTTGCTCACTCTCTAATCATGTCATAGAAGACATTTGTTGATCTGCTCAAAATCCTTAATTTAAAATAAGTGCATTGTGATAATAAACTTCAAAATCTTCCTCTTACTTCAGATTTATCTTGGTTAATTCATTGATATTTCGTACTTTGTCATCTTCCTTTGAATTTTCATTTTATATATAAAAACAAACAAACAAACAAACCAGGCACCCTAATGTGCCCTATATTATCAACAATAAACAGCACACCCCCACAAATTAAAAAAAAAGCCACAGCAAAAAGAAAAAAAATGTCTTTAATATATACATATATATATGTATGTATGTGTGTGTGTTTGTGTGTGTGTGTATATATATATATATATATATAAACAAAAAAAATAAAAACACTTTTTGGTTTCAGTGGGCTGATTTAAAAATCAACAGTCAAAAATGCCTCTAATATATATCAAACAAATAAACAAACACACACTTTCTGGTTCTTATTGAATTTGATGAGGTAATTTAATTATCTTATCCTCAAAAATCCTAACACATTTTCATTACATACACTTTTGTCTTTTATTTTGACCTGAAGGAACTGAAATCAACAGACATGTCATTTATAGCTTTTCCACTTTGTCTTATCATCTCCACTTTTGTTTTCGGATACTGTGTTATACATCTACAAACACAATGTTTTGTTTCTTGTCATTGTTTCATTGTCTTTTCATCTAGTAACCAATTTGTAATCATCATAAGTTGTCCTCTGACATGTCTCTCTCTTGAAAGATTCTCCCCAAAATTTAACAATTTATATACATTTTTATCTCCTGCCAAACATTTGTAAAGAAAATGCATATTCAACTCTGAAATGAACTAAATTTTATCTGAGAAAATCCCGTATTAAGTATGAATGCTATAGTAGTAAATATTTTATCAAATGAAATGTCTTGACAAGAAATGAAATTTAGTAGTTACTCTTAGGTATTTAATATGGGGGTGGGTAATAATTGATGGGGAAGTTAATTGGTTGGGGATCTGATTTTTTCTTGGTCAAAAAGTGCAGAATTATTAAATAGTTTTAATAAGTTTGTGAGGGTTTGGAATATTTTCTCATAAAAATAAAAAAAAGATCCCTGTCCTTCTATTAGACAATTAAGAGTAAGGAAACAACTTGTAATAGAAAAAAAAAACAAAAAACTTGTAATTATGTTGTTTTTTTACGGCTGCAACAAATCCACTTTATTGTCTGCATATCTCAAGTAGCATTTATTCTTTAACAACATTCACTCGCTTAGGTGTTATATTTAGATTAAAAGCATCTCTCCAAAATGTGGAGGAAATGAAGACTATCTTGTTTCTTCCATAATGATGTTCAGTTATTTACCTTACAGGTTAGGATTTGTAAATTATCTCCCTTAAACATTTAACAGATCAGCTCTTTTCCCTAACCTGTGTGAAAAACGAATGTCTATATGGTGCATAAATAAAAATTGGAGCTAATAGTAGAGTTTTTATAAAAAGCAAAAGATATTTTCTTCAACTTGCAAGTGAAGATTTTGTGTGTGTGTGCATTCTAGCTTTGGGGATGAAATCTAACAAATTATGTATTCTTACCCTGTATATTGACATTTTTTTTTATTTTTTAGGGGTGCTGCCAAGCATAAGAATTTCTGGATAGATTTCTTTTTTCACTAAAATATAACCTGATGCCCAAATATTTATGGTTCAGTTATAATATCAAAGTTATTGTTATAAACAAATTAATTTTTGATTTGCGGAAAAGAATAGAACAAAAAAAAAACAAAGCAAATATACTTTGGATATGAGGTGGTGGGGGTCAGTTACTTTGGGTAATCATTTAAGCAATGTTAAATCCGTGTGGTAATTAATTAAAGGGAGTTTGTTTTTAATGCCAAGACACAAGGAGCTTCTGGGAGTGAAAGATAATGAGGAAACTTTAGAAAGAACTAGAAACCTAATCCTGAATAGGAAGCAAGGGATAAACCTGTACTCCTGTTCAAAAGACTGGGGAGGAGTGTGAACCGGATGATAGGTAACCCTATCTACTTCTACTTAGGGGAAAGAAAAATAAATCGTAAACAAGGAATATAAATATATTAATAAAAAAAAATGACTCCCAATAGATTTAAAGGCTGAAACTTGTATCAAAGTCTTCTTCCTGTTTCTCTCCCATTTTTAATTTACTGAAATCCTGTATAATAGATTCAGAACTTTTCCTTATTAACTTGTTCGCTTTTATCTTCAATCAATTCACTGATTTATGTTTTATTTTTTTTATAATTAACTTTATTACAAGTTTATAAAGATTTAACTTCAGACACTTGTATCTGTAAGTGTTTTGTTTTTTTCTTTACTTTTAAAAATGTCTTAACTTTGTTAACTTTTCAAGAAGTGAGATATTTTTTAATAGTAGATACTCATTTAGTAGTTGATTTCATGGTAGGTGCAAAAATTTTGAATAGTTTTTTTTTCTGTTGAGATAAATTATTAATTTCAAGAAATTTGCTTATGTTATTCAGTTAATCTGTTTATTAAATATAGAAACAGATAAATATGGTTTTCTCTCATCACTCGATGAGAGATTACAAAGGTATCTGTCTATATATATTATGTACACTATTTACATTATTTGGACTATTGTCTTCATCTTTGTTGTCATATTTATCACAACGTTTTGTCCGTTGTACGCTCCGGCCTTCTTCAGGTGGTTGGAATGTCTTCAAGGACACATGGCACAATGGATAAAGGCATTAGTTAGATCCAGTGACAGGACCCAAAGAGTGTGAAGACAAAAGATGTAATCTATTTACATTGTTCGGACTATCGTTCTCATCTTTGTTGCTATATTTATCACAACATTTCAGCCATTGTGCACTCCAGCCTTTTTCAGGTGGTTGGAATGTCAAACTGAACCCTTTATTTCACTCACTGGGGTAGACTGTTCTAGTTCCATGTGCCATGTCTAATGGATATCAGTTATCTCCTGTTAATTCCCCTCTCCAAGTTCTCCACCACCTTAACCAGGTATTGAACTCACACTGTCACTGGATTTAACCAACTCCTTTATCCACTGTGCCATGTGTGATAAATATGGCAACAAAGATGAGGACAATGGTCTGAATAATGTAAATAGATTACAAAGGATTAGAAATTATTAAAAAAATTTTTTTTTAAGATAATTTTCAAATACAAGAAAGGATCAAATTGCTTGACTAAAGAAAATTTTATTTCTGATTTTCAAATTAAACTTATTAAAAACTGTAAAATCAAATACACTTAACTCCCCCTGCCAACCCCACTCCAAGATATATATAAGATATACATTATGCAATATTTATCATTTTACCAATTTATAAAGAAATAAATATGAAAACAATTTTTTATTCATAAATTTATAAACATTTACTAAATTACTAAAATATGTGAACCAACTATAAGGAAATTCTTATTATTTACCATTTTATAAAATTTGTATCCATTGGCAATTAGCCGATGTTTTGCAATAAACAATTTAATTAATAAATAGTTTTTTATAATTTTTGTTGTTAATTCTCAAGAATAACAGAAAATTCTAAATTTCATTTTCATCATATGTTTAGGTTTTATTACAATTCTAATCCTCACATTTTGAAACAATAAACATTGCCAAGGAGTGAAGGTAGTTTTTATTAAAAAAAAAAAAAAAAAAAAAAACAAACAAAAAGGTACCAGTTTGGATGTGGCAGCAGTATTCAAAGGAAGGACAGATGGTAGATTCATATTCTTTGACATTGAAGATCAGATATTGTTTTAAATATGATGTTTACTATTAAATAATTAAAGGTCTTCTCCACTTTATCAAAATTTCTATTTTTGTTATTTTGTTGTCCTGCAGCAAACAAATTGAATCCTGTTTTTATTCATCAGTCAACATTTTGTGTAAAAATACAATTTTTGATGCCACACTTCATTTCCTTCTGTGATCAATAAAATCTTTCTTTTCTTGATTTGCTTTGACCATTTTCATCTGTGAAAATTGGTGAGGATTCCTGATTGTTAGTTTATTATTTTTCTTTCTTTTTCTTCTTCTTGCTTTGACATTTTCCTGTCTGCTTATTTCCTCTTCAATATATCATGCTAACTTTTCTCTTTCTTCTGGTTTTGTGATGCATTCTTTTTGATTCAATTTCTCTTCCTATTTATTGCTTCTCTCCTGTCCTTTGACATTATTTTTATGCAATACTGTTCACTCTTAGTTTCATGTTTTCCCACCATCTTGAGAAGCAGTCATCTTAACTTTTGCACAGTGTCTTCATAACATTTCCATGTCATGCTTTTCAATTTTTTCATCTCTCTCTTATACAAAGTTCTGCACTAAACTTGCACATATTGCAAATTCATTTACAAACATTTAATTTTTCACACACTTGCACAATATTTTCTTCTCTTTTAACACTGTGTGCCTGTTGCAGCCATTTCTATTCTTTGTCTTATTAAATTCATTCAGATCTTAAAATCAGAAATAAATAAAAACGATTCATCAAAATTCAACAGTTACTTTGAATTGAATTTTCATGAGAAATTATTATTGGGTTTCATTCTGCTCATAAACCAATGCTATATTTTGTATCTGCTTCCAAGGTTATTTTTTGTTGTTGTTTTTCTTTTGTTTTTTTTTTTTCTTTTGCTTTTTAAAACAATAATATCTTGGTAATAGTTAACCTTCGTACCAGCAAAAAAATGGTGCATTAAAAGGACACCACTATTATTCTAAGAACTCCTCAGCAATGTTTGTTTTAAAAGCAATGATTAGAATTGTAATAAAACCTAAACATATGATTAAAGTGAATTTATACTCATTTTTGTTTTTGAGAATTTACAATAAAAATATTAAACACATTCTAAAAGCTAATACAATTGTATTAAAACTAATGCAATGCAATATTTATCATTTACCAATTTATAAAGAAATAAATATGAAAACAATTTTTTATTCATAAATTTATAAACATTTACTAAATTATTAAAATATAAGAAGGAACTATAAGTAAATCCTTATTATTTACCATTTTATAAAGTTTGAACCAATTGGCAATTAGCCATGACAATAAGCAATATAATAAATTTATATTTAAAAATTATTATTTTTGTTGTTAATTCTCAAGAACAAAGAAAATGTATAAATTCACTTTCATACTTCTAGGGTTTTATTAAAATTCTACTTATCACTTTTTAAAACAATAAACATTGCTGAGGAGGTAATTAATATAATAGCAGTGTCAAGATAAAAATTGTCTTTTTGACACACAGTTTTTTTGCGAGCATGAAGTTTAAACATTGCCCACTTATTTCTCTTTTATAAATATCCTCCTCTTGAGCATATTGATCATCTGTATAATTTTTTTTAATGCTTTGCAAAATATCAAAGCATTTTAAACATCCAAATCTCCCCAAAATAAGTTGGAAAATTTTTTGTTAAATCTTTAAAGACTCAGTTTTACAAGGTTTAGATTTTTGTAAGAGACCATTTATAAAATCTTTTTAACTATATCAAAGACAATACAAATAAACTCCTATAAAATGTACAAGTTTTCATATACATTGCAAAAATTGTTTCTTTCTTAAATATCTGAAAAAAGAAAGCAAAATTGTAATGTATTTTAAAATTCTATTATACTCATATCACCCAAAGTATGTTATGTACCCTTCTGAACTACTCTAAGTCTCTGTAGAGTAATACAATTAAGATCCTTCCGCTCATTTTCAGCATAGGCAATGATGAATTAGTTCAAATACCTTTACAAGAAAAAAGGCCAAACTATTTAATATTTGAGCAACAGAGCTGATTAACCTGATTGAGCAGTACTGAACAAAAAAAAAACAAAAAAAAATGAAATATAAATTTTAGATTTTATCATTGCTACACTGCAATTTGCTTTTTATTTTTCTTCATCTGAATATTCATTGTTTCTACTGATTTCCATTTTTGGTATGATGTGCTTTACTAAAGGCCACTAAAAATCTTTTGATCCCAGTGGAACAACGAGATTTGAGATAGGCCTCCAGTTTTGAGTAAGAGATTCACATTGACATGACCTTTAGTAAAGCATGCCATGATCTTTGGCTTTTTTCATTTTTATATTTTTTGATAAAGGCGTCTTTTTGCTTCTAAGATTTTGGTTTGCACATTTTTAGTTCTTTAGAATGCTTTCTTCAAGTTTAATTTTTGTTATCTAAATTTTATTTATTTTTTTTTTTTTTTTCAAATCTTACACATGTCAACTTGGTGTGTCATAGATGTATTGGACAGTTACATATATAGTATTTTCATTTAAAAAAACAAATGAATCATTTTGTCATATCTTTATTTTTATTTCTTGCTTGCAATTCTAAACTCTTGCTGGGAAAATATATACGGCTAAGTGTGAGCATGTTTAAGCCTTTGGTTCAATATTGAAATTCAGTTCAATTCTTTATTCAGGTACAGAATCTAGCAACAGACTTAAAGTTCCTATGCACAGGAAAGAAAGCAATTCCATATCTCAGGAGAGTATGTTACTTTTTGATGTTGGTGTATATCTGTTCTCTTTCAAGTTTTAGTTGTTTCCTTGAAGTCTTCTCTTCATTTTATTCAAATTATAATTCCTCCTCCTTTTCCTCCTCCTCCTCCTCCTCTACCATTGTTGTTGTTATTGTCATTAGTGTATCTCTTGTCTCTCTTTCTCTTTCGTCTTCCCTCTTCACTGTAGAGCCAGACCAGCTGGCCATTGATGGTTGGTGAGGGTTAGATTTAAATTCTCTGGAAATTAAAATTACTTTCATTTTATGTCACTTATTAGAGGGTTAAAAAAAAAACAAGATACAAGTCATCCATTTCATCTTTTAAGAAACTTGGATTTAAAAAGAAAACCAATTAACTTCATAAAGATAAAGTTCCCTTCAATATAGTTTTGGTTTGTTTAATTAGGGCTGGACTTTCACCTGCTGACACCCTAAGCTATATGAAATTCATAACCTTCTCTAAAAAAAAAATTCAGGTAAAAAAAATTTCAATAATTATACATGATTATTATTATTGATAATTTTATATAATTTTTAATGATTTTGTGTTAAAGAATAGAAACTAAAGACGAAATAATATATTTTAAAAAAATGTGGCCACCCAATGGTGTGTGACCCTAAACTATAATTTATTTAGGTTGTAGGTAAGTCCATCACCAGTGTTTAATAATTGCTTGCATAGAATCAGTAAAGTAGTCAAAGGAATCCTAAAATATGAGTCTAGTTTAAAAAGAAAAAAGGGTTCTAAAAATATTTATAAGTCTGTGTTTTTCTAATCAGGTGGAAGTAAAGTTTTAAATAAGTTATGTTAATTTTTAATTGATATGTTTCTGTCTGAATTTCTGTAATGAGGAGTTATCATTATTTTCATGCAGACTATTGTCCCCATCTTTGTTGTTATCACAATATTTTGACTGTTGCACCATCTGGCCTTCATTAGATCTGTGTAGCCTTACCCTTTATTTAATCCATGGAAATTGGAATGTACTCATTCCACTGTCATGGGATTATCTTGTCTAGTTCTTATTTCATATTGTACAAGTTTAAGTACACACTGCCTGATCCAGGGATTGAACTTGCAATTATTATGTTATCAAATTCACAAACCACTATAGTCAAGTGGATTAAAACATTGCCACTCGGTGTTAACCTCAGTGTCCACTTAGATAGCTATATACAATCTATCCTTGATATTGAGCATTTTTACCCATAAATGTATCTTACTATATATATATATATATATATATATATATATATATCAAATATGGATCAGAATCTGACAGAACAATAGGATAAGGAAAAAAAATAGGAAACAATTATAAATTTAACGTTTCACTTTAATTTAAGCTTCATCAGAAAAATATGTTAAATTTATAAATTTTTCCTATTTTATATATATATATATATATATATACACACACACACACCCAAGTATAGGATTGGTATATACAGAATAAATTCTAATAACCAACAAATACTATTCTTAAAAGAGTGCTCAATACAGAGTAGAGCAAAGACAATTATTTATTTGAAAATTATAACATAAATATGTTATAAAATCACTACAAAAATAGCCATTTTGTTTCAACATTTCTGGTGTCTTATCAAGTGATGGTGTTGAATGTAGAATAAAATAAATTCTACATTCAACACCATCACTTGATAACACAGCAGAAGTGTTGAAACAAAATGGCTATTTTTGTAGTGATTTTATAACATATTTATGTTATAATTTTCGAATAAATAATTATATATATATATATATATATATATATATTATAATATAATCACAAAGGGCATGAAATCCAGGGTCAAAACTCATATCAATGCAAATAAATATGTTAGCTCTATCACTGAGATTGAGCACTTTTCAATAAGTACTGTGCATATATAATATATAAATAATATATATAGGAATTGAGCATATATATATATATATATATATATATATATATATATATATATATATATAGGTACCATATACGCCAGCTAGATGTTTTCCATAAAAGCTGTCTGCGTGCAATCTGTGGAGTTAAGCTTCCAGATAGGACATCTCATGTAGACCTGTTTAACAGGTGTAATATTGGAGGAATCGAGACTTTTATCATGCAGTCTCAGTTACGGTGGACTGGTCATGTCTCGAGAATGTCTGATGACAGGATATCCAAGATCCTAATGTACAGCCAGTTAGATGAGGGCTACAAGAATGTAGGACACTCATGGCTAAGATACAAAGACAAGCTGAAAAGCAACTTGTCAGTAGTCAATATACTACATAACACCCTTGAGCACCTAGCCTTGGAGCGGGTAGAATGGAGATCAACGTGTTTTAGTGGACTCAGCAATTTTCATTCTACTTGTCTGAATCATCTTCAAGTGAGAGCAAGATCTAAGAGGTCAGCCAATCTAACAGTGATCTTATCTCACACTTGCTTCATATGTGGCTTCCTTTGTAAATCACTAGCGGGTCTTAAATGCCACTTAAGATTACCGCACAAACTTTCATAACTGAATCAATAAGCTTTCAGATCCTCATACGTCGAAACCGATGGGAGAGTCCATTTTATATATATATATATATATATATATACACACACACACTCTCTCTCTCTCTCTCTCTCTCTCTCTCTCTAAAGAAATGTTATAGGCAAGCTGTTTTTTAACTTTAGCAAATCTTTCTCTTGTCCATTCACTTTTTAAGCCAAAATGTATAGTTTTAATTTTCAGTTAAGTTCAATCCTGATACAAAAAATAGTTTTCATTCAATACCTTCATATTTTTTATTTAATATGAAATGGTTTGTTAATCACCTGGATGGCAAATCTTTTTATTAATTTTCTCCGAAGCCAAATTATTTTTCATTTCTCATGTGGACAAAATCAATCTGTCCAAGACTTATATAAAAACAGAAAAATTTACAGATGAATCAGTTTGTGCAATAACAGTTCAGGAATTTAAAAATATGCTAGAAGAAAGAAAATACAAAAGAATCAGAGGCAGTGGGGGGGAGTGTGACTCTACATAGACCAGTTGGCTTTCTGCCTTGTTAACTTTTATCATAAAAACATTTAGTAAATTATGATAAAGTTAAAGTTGGATGAAACAGACTTTCTTTTTGTCTTCATTTTACCCAAATTTGGCTTCTGAAAACAGCTATCTATTTTTAATAAAAAAAATTCTTTTTCAGTGTAAAATGAATTTTGCAGCTGTTTTTCTTTTAAAAATATGAATTTTTATGAAGATTTGATACAGTATTTTGTGCTGTCTATATCCAGTATTCACAAAACTGGTCATAATATTTTCATATTTGTTAAATTCTTCTCTAAGTTTGTTTTCATTGTTTTAAAATACCTAATTGTTGGTCAATCTTGTTTAAGTTGCTTATATAATGTAAAAGAATTGAAAATAAAAGAATGCAGTTTTTTGCATTAAGAGCTTATTACCATTTAATTTTAAGAAAGATTGGAAACATGGACAAAAAAAAAAATGTTCAAAAGAGTTTTTCCTTTAACACCACTTTTATTTTATCTACCTTTACTCTACAACAATGTTGGTTTTAAAAAGTAATGATTAAAATTGTAAAAAAAAAAACTAAACATATGATGATAATAAATTTATACATTTTCTTTGTTCTTGAGAATTTACAACAGAAATAATAAACATTATTTATTGGAATAGTAGCCAAAACATTGGCTAATTGCTAATTAATTCAAACTTTATAAAATGGTAAATAATAAAGATTTACTTGTAGTTGGTTTACTTATTTTAATAATTTAGTAAATGTTTATAAATTTATGAATAAAAATTGTTTTCATAGTTATTTCTTTATAAATTGGTAAATGATAAATATTGTATTCCATTATTAATCTTAATACAATTGTATTAGTTTTTAAAATGTTGTAAATATAAAATTATTCTTTTAAATAAACAATATTTAATATTTTTGTTGTAAATCCTCAAGAAGAAAAAAATGTATAAATTCACTTTCATCATATGTTTAGATTTTATTACAATTCTAATCATCACTTTTTAAGACAATAAACATTGCCAAGGAGTTAAGGTAGTTAAATTTTTTTTTTTTTTTTGTGTGGGCACAAAAATCCATGTTTGTAAAGGCTTTCATGGTTGACCCAGACAATTTCCAACTCTATAAATTTAATGTATGTACAAAACTTTGTCATTTTTTTCTTCTTTTATTAAATGCAATTCTTTATTCTGAAATAAATAATATTTTTAATACATTTTCCCAATCTTTGAGTAGTTTAGCCATATCTTAAAAAAAATGTCTCCTTCAAACAGGAATTGATTATTAGCTACTTCTAGCTGTAATAAACATCTTCTATTTTAGTAAACTTCAAGTTAATACAAATTAAAACAAAATGCTTTTCCTTTCCTTGAATATTTTGAATATATTGAGAATAAATCTGGAGGATTTATATTCAACCCTCTGGCCATCAAATTTTATTATTCATCTTACTCTTTTTTTATCATGACTTTTTTACTTTTTAAAATTCAATTTACTGCTATTCCTTTTTCATTATGCTTACAACTCTTTATTCCGTATGTCTTTTCTCCAAACAGTTATTTTAAAAATGAAAAAAAATGATGAAAAAGAAAACGCTCTCTTCTCAAACCAGTGAAATTCAAGCAAGAAATTTGTCATTTTGAGCTTGTCAGGAGATATTGCATCTTAACCTTGGAAAACTAAACTTTTTAAGAATTCTGTTACGGTTAACAAATGAAAAATGTTTTTAATCTAATTCAGATGCTTTTATGCTGCCTTGTAGGCTAAATTGGCTTTTTTAGCCAGTTTTATATTATTTTAGTATCGAAGGCATATTGACAGATTTCATTTTAATCAGGTTGCAAATATTTTTAATTGATTTTTATTATTATTTTATGTTATAAATAAGCAGTGAAAAGATGTTTATATGAATTTTTACATTTCATATTTGTGCAGTAACAAAGGGAGGAAAATTATTTTTATAGATTTCGTTCTTTTCCAAATGTTTTCCAAAACTTTGTTCATCAGAGAATGTTCACCTGAATTCATTTGATTATTTTCATGTCAAAAATTAAACTTTTTTTTTTTTTTTTTATCCCTGTTATTGAAGTAAGTAGTGCAAGAATGCGTTCTTAGTGAATGTTTTGTTTCTTTTGTAATAGAATGTCTTTATCTTGTTGTTGTCGTCACATCTCATTAGCTGATACAATTTTCCTGTCTTTCTATGATGTGAATTTCCTTCATCCTTCCTAGTCTTGTTTGGTATGAGATTGTGTGTTGTTGGTACAATTTCATCTGAGCCACTAACATCAATAAGTCTGTGATGCAACAGGTCTTTATGCAAACTGCATATCTTGTTAGGGGGGAAAATATGCCACATTAGGAATTTATTTTTTATTTGTAATTTGCTTCTTAGGGTTTTTCACACACACACGTGTGTGTGTGTGTATATATGTATGTATATATATATATATATATATATATATGGCATGGAAACTGCATTGGCATCTTTTTTGTTGGTATATCGTAAAAATGCCATTTCTCTTTCCATAAATCTGAAATAAGGAGCCCAAGACAAATCATTTTTCTCTTTGATTCACCCCCCAAACTGATTTTCTTGCCACATTTGAATTGCAGTATGAATTGCAAACATGTTCTTTATGTGGATGCATTTTTTTTTTCTTTCTTTCCATAACAATTCCATATTTGTTATTTCACCAATCAAAATTTAATTTTTGCTCATCATACTTGCTAAGGTAAGTCCTCCCCAATGCACCCACACTCTGTTTCAGTAAATAACATTTTGCTTTTGATTTTCATTTCTTCTCAGTGACACAAAAAAGAAAACCTTTTGGTCGGTGGTTGATTTAAATTGAAACAAAACTCAGACAATTATAACACTATATTGTTCAGTAATGCAATGATGTTTAAATTATATAATGAATAAAATTAGCTTTATTCATTTCTAGCATTAGAATAATTTTGAATTAACTCTCAGGAATTCCTTTGCAATATTTTATATTAGAAAACCAAGATATCCAAAGATTATAAAATTATTTTAAGCAATGTTGCATCCTACTAGAGCTTTTTATAATCTCTGTTAAAAGCCAGAGCAATGGAACAAATTTTCCAATTCCATCATTAACAGTTGAAGTGTGAATCTATTATTAAATAACTTTGATGCAGCCAAACTTTTTTTTAACAATTTTATTTCTGTGTTTTATTACCATTTTAGTTAAATTAATGCATTTTATGCAAAAATATAAAAAAAAATACTTAGTCTTAAATATTTTTTAAATTTTCAAAACACTAAAACAAGTTTTTACTCAAATGATAATTCTTTAGCATTCAAACAGGAAAAAATTTAGGCATTTTTTTTAATTTATTTAATTATTAGGCTTTTTTTTTTTAATTTATTTTAAAAAAAATGTCTTAAATGGTGGAATTTTTTTTAATGCTGATAACTTATTGTGAAAATATTTTACTTTGCAGGGACTATATTCAGGTTAAAAGGAGCAATACTGACCATGTCATTCTTAGATTGTAATGGTGTGTTGGTCCCTGATGCTTCTAAACAATGGGAGGATAAATCCAAACTAAAAACAGAACAAAAAGAAATGCAACCTCCAAGTAAGTAACCATCATTATAATTTTTTGTTTTGTCTGTCAAATGGTTTTCATCCATTGTAAACAAGAATTGTACAAGTTGTAATTCCATTTATTTTGCTTTCTGCAGAGGCAAATACAGGACCAAATTATAGAAAGGTGTCTCCAACCACAACGGCTGAAGTGTGTGATCGCCAGTTTGCAATAATTTGTTCAGAAAAACAAGCAAGAGTGAGTTTTTTTACTGGGATTTATGCATTTTGATTTATGTCTAACAAATTAAAATTTCTATTTAAAGAGAAAGGCCAACATATAAAACATTTGTGAATCATTTTACTAGAAACAGTTTTGGATAATGTTTCATAATATAACTGAATAAGTTTGTATTGATTGCTCAGAATGTATTATCACATTTCCACCTTTTTAGAAAAATTAAAGAAAAAATCCTCTTTACACATTCTGTATAAGCTGTTGTCAATAATAATCAAAAAAGGTAAATGGTTCAAAATTTTAAAACTTTTTATAATAAATTTTTGCGTGTCATTATGAAATTGAATTTAATCATTTCTAGATTTAATTTAAAAACACTAGAATATTGAGACCATATTTTCTAAATTACATTTATAATTTCACCAATGATTGTTTGTTATCATTTATCTTTCTAGGTGATGTCATTACCTTCACAAACTTGTGCATATAAGGTAAAAATCACAGAGACATCTTTCGTTGTGAAATCTGAGATTGTTACTATTAAAGGTTTGTATTAATAATGCACATTTCTCTTTGTATAAATTTTCTTCTTCTTTCATAAGAATAAATTTTCTTCTTCTTTCACAAGAATAAATTTAATGTGATGTTATTGTCAGTTAAATGCTATTTCTTCTGAAATCTTTGAAATTAAATTCTCTTTATGAAATCATACAAGGCAGGTTTAAATCCAAGAACATTGAGATTCCGTTTTCTCTATTTTCACTCTAAATACTTAAGTATGTGTGTATATGATAATAAACAAGATATGACGTGAAGATTGTGTTGAAGCATGAAACACTCGCTGCTTGGTTTTGACCTCAGTGTTATATATATATATATATATATATATATATATATATACACACACACTTAAATATTTGGTGTGAAAGCATTCTGGTTGCCAGATGATCACAATAACATGAAACTAAACTATCAATCTAAACTTTGTCTCTTTTTGAGTTGTGACACTGGGAAGTAGAATTGCTCTGTTTTGGTAACTTAGACATAAAACAATGTTTGTAGCTGTTTAGCTAGGTGTCTTTTTTTTCTTAGTTTGTTTCATTTTTCCATTTTCTTCTATAGTTTTTGTTTTATTGGTTGTTTTTTTTTTTTTTTTAAGTTTTTCTTTGGTCACCTGGCAGGCACTTTCTGTTGTTTTTTCCAATATTTTGGGGTTTGTGGAACAGATATATATATATATATATATATATATATATATATATATATGTTATATATATATATATATATGTAATATTACTCTGCTGTTGAAGTGTTATTAAATACAAAAAATTCTACACTTTTGAAAATATGAGAGTATATTTTGTTTTAATTTTTGGATATGGATAGTTTTTTAAGTTTAAATTTTGTAATGTAAAATTTATTCTTTTCAATAAAGAACATATATGACTGCAATTTTCTTTCTTTTTCTACCATTTTTAAATAAAGTGATGATGTCTGAATTTTATTATAAACTGCATTTATGAAAAGATATCTGAAAGAATTTTCAAACTCAGAATTATCTTTGCAAATTGAGAAATTACAGAATGTTTGTGAGACTAATTACAAAATGGCAAACATTTTGCAGAAAATAAGAATAACCAGATTACTTATTTAAAGATTTTTTTTTAATCTTTTTGATTTTAGTAACAAAAAATTAACCCTCAGTCTATAAAAATTTAACAGTAACCTTATAAATTACTACACCAATTTCTTTCTCTCAAATTATTTGTTTAAGACATTAAATGTTTTCTTATTGAGCTTTTAAAAAGGATATTCTGCTCATATTTTTTCACAGATAGTGTTTGCCTTGTCTGCTATATAGCCAATGGTCATATTATGACCTTCAGCTTGCCAAGCCTGAAACTTTTAATGGATGCCCCTTTTCAGCCTCTTACTGAAATAAGGTAAGTTCCTCACAACACATTTAAGTTATATTTTTTGTTGTAAAACTCATTTGCTTATAATAATTGTTCTAATATAAATCATGATATATAGAAATACAGGCAATGTTTAACCATTGTGCTCACAAAAAACGGTGAGTCAAAAGAACAGTTTTGCCCTTGACGAATGCTTATTTTGTCAAATCTCAAGAACAAAGAAAATGTATAAATTTACTTCCATATGTTCAGGTTTTATTAAAATTCTAATAATCACTTTTAAAAACAAACATTGCTGAGAAGTGACTGTAGTTAAAATAAAAGTGATGTTAAGGGAAAAACCCTCCTTTTGACACACTGGATTTGGGTTTTATTTGTAGATTGAATGTTAAACATTGCCAAAATATATTTGAAATTGTTTTCTATTTAGAAGAAATGTTATATCTTTCTGTCTGTCTTATTCAATCCTTTTTTATTATTATTCACATCCCTACTGTTTTAGGTTAACAAGAAATGTTAAAAATTGCACCAGTTTAGAATATTTCTTTATGAAATTAAATGTAAATTGCCATCAGTAATTTTATCACATCATAAAATGATACATTCATTAAAATAATTTTCTTGTTGCATTATTTACTAATTTATTCATCTTGGTTCTCTCGCTCTATATTTAATTTTGTTTCAAACAAAATCTTTCAGATTTGGGAATTTTGTAAAATAATTTATTAAATAATTTTTCTTTTCCTTCAAAATAGTTTTTTTTTTTTTCCAGAGTCGCTCGGACTTTCTGTTTCAGCAACAATGGCCATGCTATGTATCTTTGCACTCCAACAGAACTTCAAAAAATTACCTACTCTGCTGAACAGAGGTAAGTATTAATATATATGCCCAGATTTGGATGCAATTTCAATATTAGAAAATGTTAAATGCTTTATTTGACAACATTTATCAGTTTTCCATGCATGGCAGATAAATATCACTCCAATGACCTGTGATTTCTAAGTGTTAGTGAAAAAAAAATGATTTATTCCTCTTAAAGGATTTTATAATTGGAACATACACAGAAATGCTCTAGTGATTGAGGAGTAGAATATAGATGCATACATCTTAATAATAAATTAAAAATATATTTAGGATAAATCGCGCTATCATACTTCACATCCAAGAATTTTGTTTTAAAACATGTGAACATAATAAGGCAAATTAAAACAATATTTTTTGTATAAAATGATCATCCTCTTTTCTATTTGTAGTTCTGGTATTTATATTTCAATGTCCTGACTGTATAAAAATTAATATTTCAATGTCCTGACTGTATAACAAGTAATATGAAATTCTGTTTACTTACATTATTTACATTATTCAGACTGTTATCCTCATCTTCATTGCCATATTCACAGTGTTTCAGCCATTGTACACTCTGGCCTTCTACAGGTGATTGGAATTTCAAATCAAACCCTTTATTTCATCCACTGGAGTAGATTGTGCTGTCTCAATTATTTCCCTCTCCAAGTTTTTGTTCACCACTGCTGTATTATTGAACTCACAACTCTTTAGGTCTAGTCACTAACCAACGTCTTTATTCACTTGGATGTGTGTCTTTGAGGACATCTGTGTATGAATTTTTGGGTCATACAAACCTAGTCTCATAACCATTTTTTATTAGTGCTCATATTGCAATTTTTCTGTTATAATTGCATAATTTTTACCAGAGCTTATATTGCAATTTTTGTTGTTATTCATTGCTTTTCTCTAGCACACCTTATTACTGGTTCTCATATTGTATTCATTTCTATGTTTGGTCAGCTCAGGAGATTTTTGTGGCCTAGCATATGTGCTGATTCCTTAAATTTTCATATTTTCCATTGATGTTCTCTGTTAATTCTGTGGCTAAATATGTGTTGGGACATGTAGATGAAAAATTTAAAGTATGATATCAGATGTTAATTCCATAAAAATAATTTTTTTTTTTCCTCTACCAAACTTTGAATCCTTCAATAATTGTGTAATTATAGTCAGTACCTTTTGTGTGAGCATGCACAAAGGAAATAGGTATGATTGGTGTATATATATATATATATATATATATATATATATATATATATGTAAATTCCAATAACCAACAAATACTATTCTTAAAAGAGTGCTCAATACAGAGTAGAGCAAATATAATTATTTACTTGAAAATTATAACATAAATATGTTATAAAATCACTACAAAAATAGCCATTTTGTTTCAAAACTTCTGGTGTCTTATTATTTTTGTAGTTATTTTATAACATATTTATGTTATAATTTTCGAATAAATAATATATATATATATATATATATATATATATATATATATATATATATGGCTGTTACAAGCGGAAAAAAAAACGAAGATGTGGGCTACAGATTGAAGATGTTGGAATCAAGCAAGTACTGAAATAGAAATACATGAAAAGTTTTTTAATAGAAAATGTGGCACAGAAACAATTTCCTCTTAGATGAAGAGGAAACTTGAGGCAACAGAAATGTGGTTCTACAGAAATATGCTGAGAATATCATGGGCAGAAGATGTGAACAAGTAGGAAGTTTTAAGGAAAATGGGAAGCAGAAAGAATCAGTTGAAATTTCTAGAATACATAATGAAGAAAGAAGGCTTAGAAAACACTAACAGGACAGATTGGAAGGAAGAGAGGAAAGAGAATGGCAGAACAGGGAATGGGAGGAATAATAAAAAGACAAACATTGCTTAGAACTGTGAAAGATAGGAAGTTGTGAAGATCCATGATTGTCCACATCAAGAAGGGACACAGAATATAAGATCCATTGTTGAGAAGTAAATCTTCATTTTATTTTTAACTCTCCCCCCCCCCCATGCCACTAGAAATGATGGTATATTTTGTTAAGTCCTTGCTATTATTAGGTTTCCCTATATGAGACTTTGTTTTATTTAGATTATTATTACATGACTTTGGTCTTTCACGTTTGTCTGTCCTCGAATATTATAACAAAAAGATGCTATCAGCTGGTAATGTCAGTAACTCAAGTATGGCATATTACAGAAGAGAAAAATTACAAATATGTTTGGCAATACATTCACATGTGCACACACACAATTATTTTAATTTTACTATTATTCACCCAATACAAATCCCAAGAGTCATTCAAGGTAGAGGGTTACTAAATGAAGTTGTTGCATCAATCAAAGCATCAAAACTTCATGCATGAGCTGGGGACCTAGACATCAAGATATGCTTGTTTTCTAGAGGACTAAAGGACCCATTAGGATAAGGAGGTTGTCACAAAAACTTCTCAGGGATGAACTGATATCCATTACCTCCATTTGCTCATATTTCTCTCTACCTTTACAATTTCAAGGGCCATTCAAACTGTCATCATTCTTTATTGAATTTATTCTATTACTCTTGGTGTTTCCTGATTTTTCCAATGCGAATGTCACTGCATTCAGTAAATGTTCACTCTAATGTAGTGGTTAACATGTTTGTCCTACAAGCTGTCATAGTGAGTTCAATCTTCATTAGATATTTAAAAAATGTAGCCACTTATTTTAGCCCAGGTGTGTCATTACTTGAAATTTTATCCTCCTATACAAATTTGGACCTTCATGCCTGCAAAGAAAATGGTGTATCAAAGGACGGTTTTTCTATTGACACCACTATTATTTTAACTACCTTCTCAGCAATGTTTATTGTTTCAAAAAGTGATGGTGAAACTTGTAATAAACCGTAAACATATGATATAAATAAATTTATACTTTTTCTTTGTTCTTGAGCTCTTATTTATTTATTAGATTTTTTATTTACAAGAATAATTATATATTTTCAGCATTCTAAAAACTAATACAATTAGAACTAATGCAATATTTATCATTTACCAATTTATAAAGAAAAAATATGAAAACAATTTTTAAATTCATAAATTTATAAACATTTACTAAATTATTAAAATACGTGAAACAACTATAAGTAAATCCTTATTTACTATTTTATAAAGTTTGAATCAATTGGCAATTAGCCAACCATTCCAATAAATAATATAAATGAGTAGTGTTTATTATTTTTGTTGTTAATTCTTAAGAGCAAAGAAAATGTATAAATTCACTTTCTTCACATGTTTAGGTTTTATTACAATTATAATCATTGCTTTTTAAAACAATAAACATTGCCAAGGAGTGAAGGTAGTTAAAATGATAGTGGTGTAAGTGGAAAAACCTTCTTTTTGACACTCTTTTTTTTTTTCTTTTTTTTTTTTTTTTTTTTTCAGACATGAAGATCCAAGTTTGCCCAAACTTCTTTGAAAGAACATCCTCTATTTAAGAAAGTTTATAGATATTGTCTAATTATGATTTAATAAATGTTATCAAATAGTCTGTGATGAAAGAGAATCATTATTATGTAAATTAGTTTGCTTTTTTCTTTTTTTTTTTTACCATTAAAATAAAAAAATCTAATGTAAACTCCATGTAAAGAAAAACTGAAAAAAACTTATTGACACATTGTCATAAAAACAAGAGGATAAATATAAGTCAAAGTAATTAACAGAAAAATAATTAAATCTCCTTTTACTTTTTCTTCCTTTTATACTTAATATTGGATATACAATTTCTTTCTTTTATTTTTCTATTTAATAAACAAGTTTCAGTTGCAATATTGTGTGGAAATTTGTTTTACTAAATAAAATTTAATCTCATTTCTTGGCTTAAAATTTTGAGACCTTTTATTTATTTATTTATTTATTTATTTATTTATTTTTTTCTCAGACAAAATCTCAATGAAATGCTTGGTGATTTGTTCCTGCCATGTGAAACTCCTGAAGCCCCTAGACAGGGATTTTTCAAAAATTTGTTTGGAGGCGGTCCTGTTACTGTGGACAGGGAAGAACTTTGTGAGTAGATTTCTTTTCTCGTATCACAAACACACTCAAAATATACACATATCCAAACTTCATTTGTTCTTTTGTTGTTTTTTAAAAAAAAAAATAAATTATACATACACACACACCTTTTCATCCTGTAATGTTGTGTTTGTGTGTGTATGTATGTATGTGTATATATATTTAATATATATAGTGAGAGAGAGTGATAAATGTTTTAAATTCAGCTGACAATATGTCTGTTCAGTGTTTTTGTATTTTTCTAATTTTAAATTAAGTTGCTGTACATGTTTCGATATGTGTATGTTGAAATCATGTCGGTGGTCACCATAATGTTGCAAGCACACTACTCTTTTGGTTTTGACTAAAAACAGTGACCACCATATTTTTGCAAATATAAATGATATAGTAAAAAAATAGAATGAATTTCAACAAGGCCATATTTTATATTTTTCTTTTTACATAACTGAGTAACAAGAGAAAAAAATACACTATTATGCATACATTATAAAGAAGATATTGAAAGTAAGAAAATATATGGGTTATATGTGTGTGTGTTTGTGTTTCAGTCACTAAGGGGAAAAATATTCTGATGCCTAGGAACAAGGTTCCATTGGAGTTGTCACCAAAGCATGCTTGGAGGAAAAGAGAGAGTTAGACAGGAAGTGTTGTGTTTTTATAGATGCTTAACAACATCCTGTAATGACTTCTTGTCAAAACTGGCAAATCTGTGTCAGAATTGTACATAAACTGTCCAAAATTCATATTTGTTCTGTCTCAGTCATTATCAAGAACTGAATGTTGTCATTATGGCAGACAAGATTTTGTTGGTTGCAACCTGACAATCTTTGTGAAATACATTTCCAAATATATGTGTATCATAGCATGTAGAAGAGTTTCACTGCATAGTAGGAAAGAATGTATCAAATATTTATATGTTATTATTTTATATATATATATATATATATATATATATACACACACACACACACACACACACACATATTGAATATTTCATAGACATTTAAAACTACCATCCCCTGTACTGAAAGATATCTTCTTTAATGCAAATTGTTTCTTTTCTATAATAATAGCCTCAAGGATTTTGAGTTTTTCTTTACAGTGAGTGTGCAAATAGAAAAAAAAATTATCTCAAGTCATGTAAATGTGTGATTTTTTTTGATTTTTTTTTCTAATCATAAGCTATAGTTTTAGTCTTGTACTATTCAACTTTCTGTTCAATTTAGAAGCATTTTACTGTGAGGAGAAGCTATATTTTTGCTTCCAGCTTGTGTTATTCCATCAGCATTAATTAAGCATGAATTTATTTAATTATGTGTATAAACTTCCTCTTAAGAAAATCTTCTTTGACAATTTTAAGAGATAAAGATTTCTGCCAAACTCTACTGACTTTGGAGCAAAACAGAAAAGCTTCCGTTTCTCTTTTTTTCATCTTGATTGTGAAACGCTTACAGCCATATCACAGTGAAATACCAGTTCTCATACAATCACTGAAATTAAGCAACATCTAGTCTGGTCAGTACCTAGATAGGTGACCGCTTGGGAATACCAGGTGCTGTAAGCCTTGTTGTGTGGGTAGTGTAATGTATAGTGTCTTGGAGTGGAAAATCAGTGAGTCAAGTTTCAATTCCAGTTGGGCTTATTATTTACACTTAGGCACAAATAACCTTGGGAAAGGATATGAATTCACCCCCCCCACACACACACACACACCTATTGGTTGATTTGTAAAACTTGTATCAGTAAAAATCATTATCTCCCCAAAATTGTTACAATCTAAAAATATTTTCTGGCTTTAAATAACCTGCAAAAGGTTGATAAACAATAAAAAAACGAATCAACCCATCTTGATTGTAAATGATTACTAATTAGTTTTTATCTACTAATTAAATGATTGTCATCATTTCAGTTGGTGAAACCAGTGGCAAGGCAGCAAAGGGAATGGCCAAAATTATTGCTGGCTCTGGCGGTATGCATCATCTAACGGCCCAGTCGACTTCCGTGGGAGGTGAGGTAGCCCGTACCAAGCAGGTGAGAAAATTATTGGTGTTTTTTTTTTTTTTTTTTTGTGTGTGTGTGTCTGAAATAACTAAAGCTTGTTAACCGCCACCTCCACCCAAATAATACTTTATTGACACTTATGTTTAATATTGATCTTTTTCTTTCTCCTAGCTATTTCTTGAACGAGGAGAGAAGCTGGAGGGTTTAGATGACCGGACACAACAGATGACTGCACAAGCTGAGAGCTACTCCCAGTTGGCCCACCAGCTCATGCTGAAATACAAGGACAAAAAATGGTACCAGTTCTAAGTCCTGGAGCTTTCCTCTATGGATGCTACTCCAGCTGTTGGCTCTGTGCTCAGGTGCAGCTCCAGTTCAATGCATGTTACTCTACAGTTAACACTGGTGTGTGCTACTATGGCAGCAGAGTTTTCACCTGTGGCCAGTGACGCCCCTTAAGTAATCACCGCCAATTGGAACAAGACTCCCACACTATGGCACAATGATTCCTCCATTGTATGTACAGATGGACAACTGCTGAGACAGTTGCCGACGTCATTGGTCACACATTGTGGCCTCGATCAATTCTCTGGTGATGACATCATCAAGGGCGATACCTAAAAGCAGGATCCAGTTTTTACACTCTTTTTAGACCCTTCTGTAAAAGAGCAAAAATAACTTTGTTGCATTCTATTGCAATCTGTTTAACTCTTTTTGTGGGAACAAATGCTGAAATTTTGGGAATTAGAGGCAATTTTTCCTATAGATGCTAGAACACTCCATCTTTCTCTGAGTTTTAAAGCTGGATTTTTTTTGTCAAATTGATTCTAAAAAACTTAAAAGGAAAAAAAAAAAATCTTTAAAATAAAAAAAAGAATGAATGTCTTTGATGAATGAATGACTGGTTGAATCTGAAAAATTTTTAAAAATTAAACAAATGTTTACAAAATTCTGAAAATATATATATAAAGAAAAGATAGACTTTATGAAAAAGAAAAAAAAAAGATTTAAAAAAATGTATTTAGAATACTGTGTAAAAGAGAATACAATACACAATACACTGTGTGTGTAAAAGAGAACATTACTGGCAAGATGCTGAGGAAGACATTGGTGTTAGAAGGGAAAAAAATGTTTACAGAAAAGCTGGATCTTTGACTCCAAAATACAAACTTGTGTCGTTGGTTTATGGCAGATTTTTTTTTCCAATTTTTTTAAAACTATTTCTGCAGTTTCAAACAAGTGGATGAGAAATGGATTCTAAATTTTACTGATAGGAATGATGTTTTTAAACACTTACAACATCAATCTAACAAAAAAAGAAAGAAAAAAGAAAGGAGAAAAACTAATGTTTGAAAACTGTTAATTTCTTTTTTTTCTTTTTTCCCTCCATAAACTGTGTACTGGGTTTAACAAGTTTTTGTCCTTGTCTCTGCGTATTCTAAGAATTTATCATCAGCTTTTCAAATCTCTTTGTTGAATACAGCGCTTTCAGATTCACCGAAAACGTTGTCTACGTGGAGATGGCAGTGTTGGTTCTTATGCCCACCCCCACACATCTACCCCATTCCCTGACCCCAGTTTTTCCTTGTATTAAACATTGCAGCTAGTTTTTTTTTTTGTTTTTTTTTGTTTTTTTTCGGTTTTGGTTCTTATTTTCAAGTGAAGAAATTGGAAGAAAATCTTAATTATTTCTTAATTTTTTTCTTTAACAAGATTTTATTTTTTTTTTTTAAATTTACCACATTGATCCTGGAAAGAGTTTGTTAGTGCTGCTGCTGCTGCTGCTATTGTTACTGCTGCTGCTACCACTGTGTAATAAAATGTTTTAAAAATTACAAAAAAAAATTAGCCCACCATCACCTTGCAGTCAGTACATTGCTATTGTCACTGCTACCTCCTTCTCCTCACCTGCTACAACCACCAATACTGTTTTAAACTGATCTTTAAAATTTCCACTAAATCATTGTACAGACTACAAGAGTAAAATCAAAGCACGTGGTTATTTTACCATCACATGTTCAGTTCTGTACAGTTAATACAAAAACTTCAATTAGTGTCACATCTTCTTCAATTCCTGTCACTAAATGAGCACAGTGCTATTATTAGTGTAATCTTTGGCCCCATCTATGTATCTGATGGCAAGTGCTGTTGGTTACTCTCGTCTCACACCAAACGGACACATTTGACAGATTTCTCTTTAGCCTTTCTACTTGTCTACATCACACTTGACACTAGTTTCGTGTCAATTCAGCACTCTTTGGCAACTTTTGCTTTGATGGTGGCTTTGATTTTCCAGTAGTTCTTCTGTCAGCCAGCTTGGTGGTAGTGGTCACTTTGAGCTTTTTCTGACTCTACCGTTTGTTTGGCACTAAACACCACCCACACCAGGATGAAAGGGAAAGCAAAATGAAAGAAGAAAAAATTACTATTTCTATATAAGTATTGTCTCTCCTATTGAATATATTCTGTACAAACAAATACACACGCACATACACACACACACACACACACACAACTAAATCAAGTTTATTAAGCGCAATGTTTAAGACAAACTTGTAAAGTGTAAGGCTTTACAGCATTTTATTGTAGAGTTATTATCTGCAGTGACATTCCTTAGCTGCAACTTTCTTGTCTCTTTCTTTTTTTTTCTTTTTTTAGTCTACTGACCTTTTTGTATAGAAATGCAACATATCACACTCTCTCTCCTGGGGTGTGGTGTCTTGGTTTGATTGGGGTGGGCACATTTTTACCAATTTCATGCAGGTTTTTTTGTTAGGTGAAAATTAAATATGGCTGAACTTTTAGGACCAATTTTTCCATATTTCCTTTAGGTCAGATATGAACCTCTCGATTTGTTGTCATTTTTGTATACTTTGTAGTTTGTAAATTATTTTGGTACCTTCTACTTTCAAACTGATCAGGTAAAAAAAATTTATCCATTAAATTAAATGTGCATGTATATGCATACACACGCACACACAAACACACAAACACACACACACACTTCCCTCTTCCTCCTCCCCTTCTGAATTGAACTTTGTCCTAACTGCACAGCAGCAACTGACACTGCAATGGGGAGGGTGGAACCAACTAGCTGCCACCTTGTGCAATATATTACCACTTTTGCAGTGCGCTGCATATATTGTACAGCCATATTGTTTGTTGATGACCATATCCAGGTAGATCTTGTGCTGCTGTATTGACTGTGTTATCTGTTATTTCTACCTAGTTGTTTTGTACATAACATTCTTCCAGACAAACATTTTCTGTAGTTTTACATTTCAACAGCGATATCTTTATTGCATTTTTTTTCTTTTTACTTTTCATTTTTTTCTTTTTTTTCCTATTTCTTTTTTTCCTATTTCTTTGTGTGTGTGAAGATTACCTTGGGTTATGAGGGGCCAAATTTTGTGGCAGATCTTGCTGCTCTGCTGTCTATCTATTTCAGAATTACAAATGGGTTGTGTGTGATTTCAGGCATAGCCAAGTAACAAGAAAATTCTCAACAATTACAATTAAAAACAAAAAAAGACAAAACTATGAAAAAAAACAGACAAGACCAAAACCAATAACCAAAATCTGTTGGAGAATGAGAGAAAAAAATGATAATTTGTTTACTTAACTTTCATATATTTCTTTAAATATTTTTCTTTTTGGACATTAGAAATCACCAACTCTGTGATGGGTCAATTACTAATTACAGTTGTATAGATCATTTCACTGGCTGAAGCTGTATAGGTACTACTTACTACTGTGCACACACACACACACACACACACACACACACACTGAGACCCTGTTAATACTCTTTACTTCCTTTCAGACACCCATACAACATTTGTGTTTAAGCATAAATACATACTCAAAAAGAGAAAAAAAGCACTAACCCTCTCTAAATGGCCATCAAAAACACCCCTCTCCAATTAAACATGGCCCACACACTCACAAATGGTGTACAACATGACACACATGCTCATACATACGCACATGAAACTACCAAGATTTTGGTACATGCAAAAAAAAAAAAAAATTATGATTTTGGTTATTATAAAATTGTGTTTGACCTCTGGGGTCAACCCTATGCATGAATGTTTTCCAACTTTGTTTTCCGGCAACACGCTACCGAGTGATTTCTTTTGAGCCTATGACTAGTTCTTTTTGCATTTCACACCCTACCCAGCCTATGTGACACGGAGGCAGGCTGTTGTCTATACTCTCTACCCTCTCTTCCCCACACCCACCTTCACCTTTACTCTATTGTGTGGGTGGATGCAAGTGAGTGCATATGTGTGCATGGTTGCTAATTCCCCCCTTCCTTCCCAAATGACTCTGCTGGCTCCATACATCCATGTTGCATGCCACACCTATCTCATTTTGCCCCCTCCCAGTCCCTTTGAGTATCTACTCACCCCAAACTTGACCCCGCTACCAACCTCTTTGTTAAAATTTATCAAATCCCATGCTAAATCCCAACATAATGTAAAGCATGCATTTCTATTTCTGCTATTTCTGTCACCCCATTTCTCTCTCTCTCTCATCCTCTACCCCACTCTTTGACACCCACTACTTCCCACCCGCCCTCATCTCACCTCTTTGTTGCCATCAACAATGCTGTCATGAAAGGAGGTGACAGAGAGCATGTGTAGTGTGCTTGCAGCTTGCACGTGTGTTGCCAGTCCCCATGCTAGCGCGCAGGGCAGCCAGTCAGTGGTCAGCTGCTCCGAGTGCTCTACCTCTTTCCCCACCCACCCCTCTATGTAGGCGGCATTTTCCTCCGGTCTAATAGTAGCCAGGTCGTCCTAGTTGTGATAGTTGTGATGGAAAACTCTGTACAAAGCTGTAGAAACCAATAGTCAATAAAACCCTATTGTTGACTTAGAGGCTGACTCTGAGTTTAACTTTGTTGTTTTTTATCATTTTTTTTCCCCTTCTTTTCAGGAAATTCATTTGGTTTTACTATAACCAAATGTTAAAGAAACTTGGAAATGTTTTGCTTCATGAAACCAATAATACTGAGAATATTTCGAGATGACCTTTACAATTAGCATTACTTTTCAGATTACAGAATCATTTTCATCTTTGTTGACTTTTCAGTCTAAAGAGAAAATGTTCAAAATCTTGCTGTAAACTAAATTAACATTAAACTTATAAGTAATTAATATTTTAAATTTTTGATTTGGGTTATCAGAATAAATCTGAAAAGGAAGGCTTTAAATCAAGCCACCTTTTTGCCAGAATTTTTGCATTATTTGCTGTATTTGATAAGGAAATTTCCACAACTATTTTGAATTTTTGACTGTAGTGAAAGC